CCCAACCAGACACACCCCATCTCTGCATTTCCCACCCTAGACACTATGGGCAATTTAGCATATCCAATCCACCTAACCAGCACATCTTTGGACTGTGGGAGGAAACCAGAGCACCTGGTGGAAACTCATACACACATGGGGAGAATGTGCAAACTTCACACAGACAGTTGCCCAAGGCTGGAATTGAACCTTGGTCCCTGGTGATGTGAGGCAGCAGCACTAACCACTGAGCCACTGAGCCACCCCAAATTTCAAAGGGAGGAACATTTTATATTGCATACATAAGGATGCTGATTAGTTAGTTTAGAATTTAAAAAAAACTTGCCCAATGACAACCATTTAACTACTGATCATTATCATAAAAACGCAGTTAGTTCACTAAGGAAATCTGCCATCCTTATCTAATCTGGTCCTTACCCGGTTCAGACTGAAGTAATGTGTTTGATTCTTAACAGCCCATTGGATAGTCAGGGATGGGCAGAATGTCCACATCTCCTGAATGAGCTTTTAAACAAGCTCTACCTTAAACATACTTAAGACTGAGCTTCCACAGCCCTCTATGGTAGAGAATTTCAAAGGTTCACAACACTCTAAGTTAAAGAAAATCTCTTCATGCAACCAGATAAAACACCTTACCTGTACCTACCCTGCCTATCCGTTTGTAACAAAATCTCCTCTAGTTCTTCAAATCTCTAGAAAATACAGGCCCAATTTGCCTAATCTCTCTTCATAGGATGATTTGCCATCCCAGAAACATGCCTGGTGAACCTTTCCTGCACTCCCTGTATGGTGATGGTCCTTTTCTCTACATAAGGAGACCAAAATTACACAGTATTCTAGGTGTGGTCTAACCAAACTCCTAAAACTTGAAGTAAGACTTCATTACTCCTCTGCACATTATATTACATCTGCCTTGTTCTTGCTTATTCACTAATCCTGACCAAATCCTCCTGAAGTTGCTTCGTATCTTCTTCTCATACACATTCCCACTTTATTTATGCAATCTGCAAATTTGAAAATATTAGATTTGAACCTAACTTTAAACTATTCATATATATTTGATTTATCATTGTCATGTGTACTGAGGTACAGTGAAAAGTGTTCTTTTACATGCTTTACAGGCAGATTGTACTATACACGTGCATCACAGTGCAGCATACAACATTACAGTGGGCAGGAAGGTGCAGAGGGAGATCAATATTAACATTAAAGATGTTCATTCAGAAGTCTGAAAACAGCAGGAAAAAAGCTATTGTTACGTGTATACAAACTTTTACATCTTCTGCCTGATGGAAGAGGGTGGAAGAGGAGTATAACTGGGGTGGGAGGGGTCTTTGAATATGTTGGTTGCTTTTCTGAGGCAGCAGGAAGTATAGACGAAGTAAATGGATGGGAGACTGGTTTGCGTGATGTACTGGGCTGTGTTCACAACTCTCTGTAATTTCTTTCCATTCAGAACAGCAGTTGCCATACCGTGCTGTGAAGAATTCAGATAGGATATGTTGAGAGGAGCTGGGACCCAAGTAGTGTTCCTTATGGGACACTGCTACTATCAGCACTCTGCTGATTGCTAAAAGCCAAAGAGACATGCCATTTCATACAATCAACCTGTCACTGGGAATATGACCTATGTACTTAGCATTGCAACAACATTGAAATTTGTATACCACATTCCACATTTGTGAGGCAGGCAGAACACCTTTACCTTAAGAACAAGCATCCTGTTCATGTAAAATATCATGTCCTGCTACTACATAGGCGTTGCAAGATGAGGCAGCTAGCTCAAATGTATGAATTTGAAGTAGACTGAATACTTCTCCTGTCTGAAATTGGCAGCCCTATGCTCACCTGTGAGTGTGCATGATACATAGTGAGTTATCAGGGTAGCCATTATTCTGTGATGACTTTGATGTGTCCTAATTCAGCATCATTTGCACAAATAACTCAGACTTTATCTACTTGATAGCGAACCCTATAGTTTGCAGAGCTATAGGAACCCCATCAAGTAAACTGACCAGTGAAGGACAGAAGACAGCAGTAGAGAACCCATCAGTAGATTTCTCCATTACCATACTGAAGAAATTGACCTCATTAGAATTCAAAGGTGAATTTGAGAATGGGTTGGCGTACATTAAGGCGGGCAGGGAATTTATGTGCAGCTACTGATTCAGGTAAAGCAAAGGGGCTATTTACATATCACAAATATGCAAAGTGTAGGAGGTGAGGGATCATTCCACTGAAAAGATACTTCTCCGTGAAACCAAAAAATATGTTAGCAAGAGCTGGGCCTACAAAGGGAACCTATGGCATTACCAGTTATTTGGGCAAACTTGGTAGCATTAAAGTTGAACTCAACTGCATGATTGACTACGTTCATATGTTCAATGAATAGAGATTTGGAAAATGGCACCGTCTAGCTTGCCAAGCTATTGTGACAGTGTAAATCCTATGTGAGCAACACATTAGTGAACAGGCTGACAATAGGGTGGCACGGTGGCTCACTGATTAGCACTGCTGCCTCAGTGCTAGGGAGCTGGGTTTGATTCCAACCTTGGGCAACTGTCTGCATGTTCATTCAGTGTCTGTGTGGGTTTTTGCTGGGTGCTCCAGTCTCCTCCCACAGGCCAAAGGTGTGCAAGTTAGGTGGATTGGCTGTGCTAAATTACCCAGTGTTCAGGGATGTGTAGGTTAGGTGCGTTAACCACAGGAAATGCAGGGTTAGAGATTAGAGGGATTGGGGATGGGTCTGGTTGGGGTGCTTTTCAGAGGGTCAGTGTGAACTTGTTGGGCTGAATGGCTGTTTCCAAATTGTGGGGAATTCTATGTTGAATGAGCACATAAACACATTGCTATTGGTAAAATATATGCTATTGGTATGTAGGTTGTGTACAGCCTCCACAAAGGTGAAGGAATCCTTCATGGCATATGTGGAAAACTCAGAACTGGTTATAGCAACTTATTCAACCATTTGGCCAATACTCATTACGCATAACCAGTCAGACACAGGACAAAATGGGATATCACTCGTGGCTTGTACGTACATGGACTTAGGAGTTATCGTTGTGCTTCACTATCACATACACCATAAGGTAGCTTATTACTCTTACAAAATATGATTTTTTTTTTGTAAATTGATGTTAAGCAGGGTAGTGCAGTTAACTAGAATTCAATTGCAAACGAAAGAACTGGAAACAAAGTGAGAAAGACAGAAACTTGAACAAAAATGAAAATATTTGAATTTCAAAGTGAGAGAATAAACAAGAGGGAAATGTGAAACTTTAGTTTACTCTTTGCAAATCACAATTGGAAAGGAAACCTTAAACTCCAGACAGAAAAGGTGAGAAAATTTGCCCTTGTCAAAGCAAAGCTTAGATCAGTATTTTGCAACCTTTTTAGTAATATGGCACACTTCAATGAAACAAAATTTCACAGTACTCACGTTATCTCAGTTTTGCCCTTTGGGCACGCATTTAGAATGCTCACATTTTAGAAACAAAAGACTGATACCATGTTTTTAAATTTGAAGATTAATTTTTGAGCTTGAGTTATAATTTCAAAGTTGGATAAAATATCATTTAAAATGATTTATTACTTTTGTGCAAAATTTCATAGCACAGTTCTCATGGCACACTGGATGAAAAACAAGTTACATAACATGGATAGGGATTGCATTTTCCTGCTATGATTTAGATTTAACTACAGTTTTTGTTTAGGCAAAGAATGTTTGCTCAGTGCCTAAATTCAATGGGGATGGTGTTGAAACAAATGGGGGTCAACTTGACAAATTGATAAAAGACTCAGGAAATCAGGTTACAATTGTTTATTTCATACATGCATACAGAGAGGAAGCCTTAACACTGAAGTGTAATGCGCACTCTTGGGTTACATAACAGCTTCAGGTTTTATGCAGTCTCAAGTCACCTGTGATTCATGTGACAATTATTTTAATTGTGCCTCTTTGGTTACACACGCTCCTGTCACTGAAAGTATTTCCTCTGTTTACTTACAATAAGTGCAGACCTAACTCATGACATCCACAGACCACATAACGAAAGTTCTTAACTCCTTCGCGTTGTTTTTAGTTTGGAACGGACTTGAAGTGAACATACCGAGGCAGAGTTTGCTCATGAAAAGAAATAGGTGGGTGGTAAGTGGTAAGGATGATTTGAAGAGTTTGCAGAGGGATATAGACACATGAAACGAGTGGGCAAAAACTTGGCAGATGGAATTATAATGTGGAAAAATGTGAGATTTTGCAGTTCGACAGGAACTGAATATTGTTTAAAATTGTTATTTTTCTCAAAGCTACAACATAGAAAGATTTGGGAGTTCTCATGCAAAAAAAATCACAAAAAACGAGCAACCAAGTTCGGTGGGTAATGGGGAAGGCAGATGGATTTTTGGCCTTTATTCCAAAGTGAATGAAATTTAAAAAAAAAAGGAAGTCTTGCTAAAATTGTACAAGGCATTCGGCAGACCACAGGTGGAATACTGTGAACACTGTTGGTCCCTTTTCTAGGGAAAGATATACTGACATTGAAAGCAGTCCAGAGAAAGTTAGAGGTTGAACCTGGGTAAGGGACTTTTTAAAAAAAAAAAAAAAAAATCCATTCATAGGTTATGGGCCAGGCCAGAATTTATTACCCATCCCTAATTGTCCAGAGGGCAGTTAAGAGTCAACCACATTATTATCAGGCTGAGTCATATGTAGGTAAGGATGGCAATTTACTTCCCTAAAAGACATTAGTGAAGGGGTTTTACCAACAATGGATTCATGGTCATTAAATTTTAAAAAATCTGGAATTGCACTAATTTCAATTTCCACCATGTCATGGTGGGATTCAAACCCAGGTCCCCAGACCATTACCTGGTCCTCTGGATTTAACAGTCCAGCGACAATACCACAAAGCTACTGCCTCACCAGTGAAGTCCTAAACTGACTCCCAGCAGTGAGGCCTATTCCTACTGATTCCTTCCAGAGGCCAATCCAGATAAATTCTCTGTAGTTTTTAAAAAATTGTTTTGGGATGTCTCTATTCAACTAGTGTCCACAGCAGATACAGCACAACCAGTTGTTTTGAAAAGGAGATAGTAAGAACTGCAGATGAAGGGTCCCGACCTTCCTGCTCCTCCGATGCTGCCTGACCTGGTGTGTCCTTCCAGCTCCACACAATCGACATTTGATTTCAAATGTTTGCTTTCTTTGCAGCAGCATTCAAAGCCACTCACTTTAAAACTTCGAGCCCTCATGCCGGTTTAAGTTAGGCAGCTTTAAGTCCAGAAGTCAGGTGACACCAGGTTATAGTCCAACAGGCCTATTTGAAAATCAGTCTTTCGGAGTGCTGCCCGTTCATCAGGTGAAGTGAGGAGCACACAGACACAATGTACTGAACTATAGAATTGTGCGCTTCTCACTTCCTCTGATGAAGGGGCAACACCTAGAAAGCTTGCAATTTCAAATTAACCTGATGTCATCTGACTTCTGACCCTGTCCGCACCAGCACCTCCACATCATAATTTAAGATCTACAACTCCTTTTCACATCCTGATATTTTGAGCCAGCGTGACCTCTAATCTGAGCTTCTGAACTCAGTTTCTTGTAGAAGTATAATAGACGGTTGCCAATTTTGTGGCATTGAATTTAATTTGAACATCTTCAATTCAAACAGCTTCATTGGACCTCTGACACTGACTTTCTATCCAACAGGTAGTTAGATACTAATGAGCAAATTTGATACAATTACTATACTGGAAATTAAATGGCATTTAGATTTAACTTCTTGCAATGGAATGATTAAGCAACTTTCATTAATATTCTTAATGTATTCTGTTTAGCATACTTTCCAAAAGAAGTTTCTCTTCACCTACCATTATTGGTTGAGCTGACCTTGTCTCAAAATATTAATCATTTGCCTGCTTTACTGGATTAAAAGATGGATACATCACATGAATACAAAATCCTTTGTTAACCCATATTTGGAAAAGACCAGAATGTAAATATTTTCAAATGCTTAAATGAGCAGCACCTACTGGTAAAACATTTTCTGTAGTCACCTCTGCTCATTCACAAATGCTACATTTTTGGCTTTAAATTTCCAACAACTTGCCTTCAAATGTCCTTATGCCTAAAATTACATCTTGGACCCTTAATCATTTGCATTCCCATACAGTCCTTCCTCAGCCTACATTGGTGAGTAATTGTTTCTGCTATTTCAATCATTTGTCAATATTCTACTCCAAATAGGATTGTTTCTCTGGGCTTGCAAACAATGGTCTGTTGCCACTCCTGTTTGGAGACTCAGCATAAAAATCAGCAAGTATTGCAGTGATTCTTGGAAGCTTTGTGCTCTGCATTCCCAAAAGGATTGTTTTAAAATTCTTTCCATCTAAAATAACCTCTTAAGGTTTTTTAATTCCAGCTCAAATCTTCGTAATGGAAAGTCACAAATGCAATCCCAAAGTTTTCTGCATGATTTGCAGTAATTCTGTCAAGCTTTCCTCAGACCAAAGCAGTGATATCTAACTGGTTAAGGGACAGAGAGAGAGAATAGTTGTAAACTATTCTAAATAATGAAGAGTTTGATAGAATAGATAGGACTATTTCTTTGGCACAAATATCAGTAACCAGGAGAACAGAGATTCAAGATAATTGGCAAAGAGAACTAGGTGACAAAAGCATCTTTAACACAAGTTGAAAATCTGGAATGCAGTACTTAAAATGCAAGTTCTGTATCTGTGCAACTCAACTCAATTGTGCACACTATTGGAAAGATCTGTAATCACCACCTAGCCTAAATATGGATCCTTAATTGCCACAAAAAGAGCTCAAATCATGGGGTGGGATTTGAATCTGTAGCCTTTCACCAAAGGCAGAATTGGTATCAACTGAGCTTCAAGATTTTAAAAAAGATAGTAAAAGCAGGATTAACATTAACCTTCAAAAACAACCAAGAATAGGGAACATTGTTGGGTCATAGAAAGAGCTAGGGAATGGAATAATCAGAAGAGGTTTCTCAAAACAGCCACAGAACAATTAGTCAAATTGTCTTCTGTCCTATATTAGGATATTGAAAACTAGTAAAAGGCTTTTTAATCTTCCATATGCTCAGGGCACTCGAGCATCACTTGGAGCAGTTACTGTCATAATGAAAGTAGCAAACACTTAAGGTCTTAAAGTGCCGAGATTAGTGAAATCAGAATGGAAAACTGCCTTTCATTTTTAACAACAACTCTACATCCACCCAAGGCAGCATGCAATGCCCATCACATGCAGAAAAGACAATACCTGCAATGAATACAGCTGTTGAATGCGAGACCTCTGTCCAACAATAAATCAGTAATTAAAATATGACCTAGCTTATGCTAGGGCACTGCTACCATGCCACATCCAATGCTAGTTAATTGTATTTATCATAGCAAAGTAGCATTCAAGGGATGGGAACAAGACAGAGCAATCCTGACAATTCACCTTAGATGGAAAAAGTTAGGTTTATTTGCTTTGGAGGAGAGGCTTTTCTAAGCCGAAAGTGGATTTATGTTAGGGACTCATGAGTAGTGTTGAACTACTAGCTGACAAGATTACAAGTAACTTCTTGGGTGGAAAGTTAACTAGGTTACCTGAGAAATTCACAAACTGATCATTACTGCAGGTCCCTTTCCTTGAAGAATATAGAGAAGATTGCAAATAGACAAGCGTAGGATGGATCTTGTGTGCGCTGCAGGAGCACACTCTGGAAGTCAGGCCAGACTCCATACTCTAAGCTACCAGACTTGTGGTGTTTAGTCAGGTACAGACTAGGTATTGCACAGATGCTCATCTAGTCATTCATTAGACCTCCTGGGAAAGGTGAAGAGGACTGAAAGTGCAAACTAGTTACAAAAATTTTTTTGAACACCAGGTGGGACTAAAGTTTAGCTAATATTGATAATGAATTTCAGTTATTTAGCATAAAATTTTTATAGCTTAAACAGTATAAACATGCAGAGTAGCATTGTACAACAAATCCAAACAGCAGTACAAATTCTACACATCAAAAGAGGTTTATGAACACCCAAAAGAATTTAAGTTAGAAAGCAACATATGGTTTACAAAACATCATTTATTTTGTGTTACATAGGGCATTAAATTTCCACAAGGCTTTTGGGGATGATAAATGACTAGTAATTAGGGTCCAAATCTCACTGAACACCCCTTACATGTGCACAAATCTGCAAAGAAATACTATGCTTTTAAAAAAAAAAATATCGTGGGCACACAATCTGAGGAAAGTTTGTTTCCCATTCCAGTGTATCAAAGAGTCATGCTGGTGACGCTTCACAAGCACAACCTCAAACTTTAGCAGAAACATGCTGTAACAGTACACAAGTGAACACCATATGATGTGGACAGGTGTTTTTTTTTTTTTTTTTAAAAAAGATTCACAGAATTCCAAAAAAATCCAAGGTACTTTCTTCAACTTGATTGTACATTTTTACATGCCTTCAACCTCAATTTTACAAAATAGCTTGTCATTTTATTGCAGAACATAAGGCAAGTTCTCCTGCAGAATAGAGGGGTGCGTGCATAACAGTTACTTTGATTTATGCCAGTTGCTGCAAATAGTATTTGAACGTCAAGGGGACTGAGGGAAGAGTAGATGCACACTCGCCAATATCAGCAGGATAACTTAAAATATGGAAAGGTGAAGTGTGGGAGCAAGTAAAAAATACAATACAACCCAAATACTGTCTAGTGCAGCAAATTTCTACCAACTATGTTCATAATACAAACACTGCAAGTATTTCTTCTTTATAATATTAAACATTTTCCTCTACATGGAGGTTACTTATGTTATAAAGTTAACTATATACGCTTATACAGCAGTAACTGCACACCGGGAAGGCAGACAACCATCAACACAAACCAAGGGATGGACTTTTTTTTAAAGCAATGGTGTACAAGACTAAATTGGGAATTTTCCATACATAGCTATTCATACAGTACTGATGAGTTTTTGTTATAGGAATTGAGTAGAAGGAATGGAGAGGTGTAAAAATATTTTGGGGATTAGACCCTACGAGCATTTAGTTGTTTTCTCCAGGCTCAGCTGCAGAGGGTTCAGGATCAGCTGATCCTGAATTCTCGTTTGTCCATAACTAGGAAGGAAGAAAAAAAGTTACTCAGGTTCTGTTTGAAATCAATACAAATTTTAAACACATGGAGTACCACATCAAAAGTTAGTATTATTGAAAGATCTATTTTGTAGTGAAGGCTAAATATCAAATCAAAACATGAAATTTTTTTTAAAACCCTGTATCCTCAGACACAAGCATGCTTCTTCCTTATGCGTATTAGGTCAGACAACTTCAGTCAGAATTTGCAGGCACTGGCAATTGTTCCACATAGTTATTAATTTTCTAGATAGGTGATAATAGCAACAATTGAGTATTATCATAAATTAGTCTATGAAGTAATCTTCCTAGTTATTGATGGTTCTTGTCCCACGTACAATGCATCGTCTTTTGCTACACAGTGACTATGACAACCCCATTTTAATTAGGTATCATGTCGTCTCTTTAAAAATCTGAACTTTAGTCAGTTTTATCACTTCTTAAAGAGTCAATCACTAGCACAATTTAACCACATGGTCGACTAGCTAAGTTGTCTGGATGGCTGTTTTGGAATATAGTGATCCAGAGGAGATTCAATTCCCACACCAGCTGGGGTTATCATGAAGGACTCCTCAGCCTTGCCCCTTGCCTGAGGAATGGTGACCCTCAGGTTAAACTACCAGTCATCTCTAAAAAGAGGGTCGCCTGATGGTCTGATGAAACTATGGCAAACTAGCAGGTGGCATTTGTTACTCCTACAACCTTCTACATGCCCCTAATTAGGATTAAAACATAGCATGCATTCTTCAACTAAATTCTCCAAATGCAAATAGTTTACGATTCAAGAGAATTCATGCAGGGAACTCATTCTTGAGGCTTTAGTCTTCATTAAAATTAAGAAGAATGTAAAAAGTTAAGAAACTTACTGTAAGGTTATCTCTGAGCAACTGCATAATGAGGGTGCTGTCTTTATAGCTGTCATCTTGTAGAATATCCAGATCTTGAATAGCCAGATCAAATGCCTTGTAGGGCAGAAAGATAAATCAAAGACGTTAGGAATGAATGAACATTCCCAAAAATGTCCCGTAAATGCTAGTGTCAAAGATGGTTATCTAAAAATCATTCATGATGGTTAAAAACATGTGGGAAAGAGACATGGCTCCTCAAACAGCTAGTTGAAACAGAATCAAGTTGACAGTTTGCATCAAATTGTATTATTAACTTTATTTCTAGCTAGGTCTATGAATGTTGACCTGTTGAACTGAAATAGTTAAAACGAATGCAGATTTATTTGCTTATAAACACATCTTCAGAAATCTATTGATTTTAGCATCGAACAGTAGAACTTCTAGAGAGTTTCCTGGGGATGAAAAGAATTCCGAAGACTTGCCACCCTTCAAGTGAAGTTATTCCTCAGTTTTAAATGGCCTACCCCCTATTCTGGAATGAGGTCTCCTGGTTCAAGTCAGTCAGTAGAAACATCCCATCCACATCTAGCCTTTCACCCTCTAGGAATTGAAACTTTCCATGAGATCACCTCATTCTTCAAAATTCAGGAATACAGGCCCAGTTTCCCCAATTTCTCCTATGACAATCCTATTATCTCAGGGATGATTCTACTGAGCATCCAGTTCGTCTTTTCCACAGCAAATATAACCTAAAATACAAAAGCAGAAGTGTATGGCTGAGGCTGTACACAGTATCTGGTCAGACTGCATTCAGAATGTGGTCAGCAGTTTTGGAACTCCCTTCTCGAGGATGATGGCTTGTCAGATGAAGAGCAACTGATGACTTTGGGTCTGTATTCAGTGGGTAGATGGATGAGAAAGGATCCGATTGAATACAGAGGTGCGTGGGTAGAGTGAACATGGAGATGATCCTAGTCTCTCCTATAGTGGAAACAGGGGCACAGCTTCAGAGTGAAGGGACAACCCTTAGAACTGAGAGGAGGAGGAATTTCTTCAGCTAGAGGTTAGTGAGTCCGTGGAATGGTTTGCCACAGAGGGCCGAGGAGGCCAAGTCATTGAGCATACTCAAGACAGATAGGCTCCTGATTGGTAAGGGGGATTAAAAAGGTTACAAGAAAGCAATAGAAAAGTTTCTCAACCCCAATCAGACAAGATTAAATGGCAGGTCAGACTTGACAGGCCAAACAGCCCAAATCATCATAGAAACCCTAGTGTGGAAACAGGCCCTTCGGCCCAACAAGCCCACAGTGACCCTCAGAGCATCCCACCCAGACCCATCCCCCTATAAACCCACCTAATCTCTACACCCATGAACACTACAGGCAATTTAGCATGGCCAATCCACCTAACCTGCTCATCTTTGGACTGTGGGAGGAAACCGGAGCACCCAGAGGAAATCCACGCAGACACAGGGAGTGTGTGCAAACTCCACACAGACAGTCATCCAAGGGTGGAATCGCACCTGGGTCCCTGGTGCTGTGTGGCAGCAGTGCTAACCACTGAGCCAGTTTAAGGATACAGGATGGGGGCCATTTCAGAATAAGAGGAGAAATATCTTCATCCAGAGAGTGGTCAACCTGCGAATTCTCTGCTACTGAAAGCTGTTGAGGCCAAAATATTGTTTGGAGATAAGTTAGGTATAGACTTGCTCACCGAGCTGGCGTTTGGTTACAGACATTGTCATCCTGCTAGGTAACATCGTCAGTATGCCTCTGGTAAAGCGTCAGTGTTCTGCCCCGCTCGTTATTTATACACCTCAGTTTGCTGGGGTCGTTAGCATTACTTCTGGTTCTGTTTTTCAGTGGTTTGTTCAGTTCAATATGTTTGTGGTGGTGTTCCAGTTGGAATGCCAGGCCTCCAGGAATTCCCTGGCATGTCTGTTTAGCTCGTGCTATTTGGAGGCGTTGTCCCAGTCAAGTGTGTCCTTCTTTGTCCATGTTATTGAAACCAGTGAGAACTGGTTGTGTCTCGAACGCCAACTGGCCACCATGTATCCTTGTCAGTTTACTTCCAGTTTGGCCGATGTAATGTCTTTCATAGTCCATGCATGGTATTTTGCATATTACATTAGTTTTATTGGTTGCAGGCATGGGATCCTTTACGTTTGTCATTAGCTGTCGCAGAGTGGCTGTTGGTTTGTGGGCTACCATGATAGGGGTCCGAGTAGTCTTGTGGTCATCTGATATGTCCTTGACGTATGGTGGGGTGACAAGTGGGTCTGGCTGTGTTGTGTGTCCTTGTTGCGGTCTGTTGCAGAGGTAACAGTGGATGGTTTTTTTGGGTATCCATTCCTTTTAAAAAAAAAACTCCATACATGTGCCCCTGTTCTGCTTTGTGCAATTCCGGACTGCTGCAGTGTGTTGTGGCCCATTTGAATAAATGTCCTGATGCAGCTTCGTCTGGGTGTTGTGACAACTACTGATGAACAAAGGATCCCATACCCACAACCAATAAAACTAACGTAATGTACAAAATACCATGCAAACACTGAAAAAACATTTCACAGGCCAAACTGGAAGAAAACTGCCAAGGATACACGAACACCAACTAGCTACCAAGAGACATGACCAATTCCCACTGGTCTCAATACGCACAAAGGAAGACAAATCCGATTGGAACAATACATCCATAATAATACGAGCCAAACAGACATGTCAGGGAATTCCTGGAGACCTGGCATTTCAACCAGAATGCCATCAACACGTTGAACTGAACCAGATATACAAACCAGAAAAGCAGAACCGTAAGCAATGCCAACCATCCCAGCAAACTGAGGCATATAAATAACAAGCGGGACAGAACACCAACGCTTCACCAGAGGCGCACCGACGATGTTACCTGGCAGGGTGATGAAACACCTGCAACCAAACACCAACTTGGCAAGCAAGTCTACAACCTCATCCACAACCCGAGCCAGAAATCTTCTCAAAAAACTTGAGGTAAATATAGCTCGTAGCACTGAAGGAATCAATAGGTATGGGAGAAAACAGGGACAGGGTACGAGTTGAATGATTAATTATAGTCATATTGAATGGGTAGAGATCAAGGTGCTGTCACAAAATCCCAATTTCTAACATAGCTAATTTAATCATTTGATAGAGAATTCAGTTTTCACTGAGCAATTACTCCTTAGAGACAAACCTCTAACCATTTTGAACTTCGCTGACAAACTTAGAAATGGCATTTTGAAGATGGCCAAGTTCCATATTTGATGGGTCTGACATTTGAGGATGTCTAGTGGGATCATGTTTTTAACCCATAAAAGTTCCATCAAGAAAAACGATGCATTCGTGAGAAAATTCAGAAGTCACTTATTTTGATTTTAAAAATTAAATGTTGGCTCCTAGAAAAGTAGGAAACATTTCTGAAATATCTTGATCACATTTTTTAGATGACCATTGCTGTATTTTTCAAATTGGCATGAACCTGGAAGTTTCCAGAAAAGTCTTTAGATACGACAACATTGGCATTTTGAAATAATGCACATTAGTGATGAAAGTCTAGTTTAATTAAATTGGCTCTGCTGACATCCTTGAGATATCTTGACATCACATTTATTCAAAAGTTTGACAAAAATCAGGATCTGCCCAAATCTAGAGATAGTAAGAACTGCCAATGCTGCAGTCTGAGATAACAGTTTGGAGCTGGAGGAACACAGCAGGCCAGGCAGCATTAGAGGAGCAGGAAAGCTGACGTTTCGGGTCAGGACCCTTCAGAAACGGGGAGGGGGACGGTGATGGGTGAGTGCAGGTAGGTAGTGGTGGGAATTGGTCAGTGAGGTGAGAGGAGTGAATAGGTGGGACAGAAGATGGACAGGTCAAGGGGGCGGCGTTGAATTGGAGGGTTGGTCATGGGATGAGGCCAGGGGTGGGGAGATTTTGAAGCTAGTAAAGTCCACATTGAGACCATTGGGCTGTAGGCTCCCAAGGCAGAATAGGAAGTGCTGCTCCTCCAATTTCTGGGTGGCGTCGTTGTGACATTGGAGGCGGCCCAGGATGGACGTGTCATGCAGGGAGTGGGAGGGGGAGTTGAAGTGGTTCACGACTGGAAGGTGTTGTCGTTTGTCACAAACTGAGCGCAGGTGCTCTACAAAGCAGTCTCCGAACCTCCTCTACAATCTGAGAGATCAAGCAGAGGCTCGGAGATCGCTTTGTAGAGCCTCCTTGACCAGTCGGTCTTCTCTCCCACTATCCGCTCCTCCCACCTCACTGACCAACCCCCACCACGACCTACCTGCACTTACCTAAGACCATCCCATCTACCTTCCCCAGCCCGACTCCCAACCCTATTTATTTCAGAGCCCTCTTTCCCCTCTCCCATTTCTCAAGAAGGGTCCTGACCCGAAACGCCAGCTTTCCTGTTCCTCTAATGCTGCCTGACCTGCTGTGTTCCTCCAGCTCCACACTGTTCTCCGCCCAAATCTACAAGCCTTTTTCTGATGGATTTAAATCCCAGGAAAATTAAATGCAGCATTTAAGTCATTTTCCAATTTGTTTAGGTGTACAAGTTTTAGACAGCACTTAACGTCCTAACAAGTTACAAATGCAAAGCAGCACTAGTTTTAAACTTAGGTCTCAAATTCAGAAAGATAATGCTGGAACAACTCAACAATTCTGGCAGCAACTGTGGAGAGGGAAACTTTAAAACAGTCATACCATTTTGAAACATTAACTGTTTCTCTCCCCAGAGGCTGCCAGACTTGGAGTTTCTTCAGCAGCACGTTTGATTTCCAGCACCTGCAATATTTTGCTTTAAATTCAGGGTGCATTAGTAAAAATAATCTCTTTTGCACAATAACCATGTACTCCTCAAAGCTTCACCATTGTATATCAGCCAGGTGGAGGTCAATCTGCAGCCATTAAAATTTGCCAACAAACATTAAGGGCGATTAAGCCAAGGGCAATTCAGTTTAGTTTTTTTTGTTCTCTCACGTTGTAACTTCACCAATCGTTTCAAACCCAACTGTCCCCCTTAAAAAGTACCACCTGAAAATTGAAGTCATTCATTTTGGGTATTAATGTTCAAATCTGTGTTGAATTTAAGAGATCCAAATTGCCACTCTTCATACACCCAACTCAGGACTTCCTCCTCTTCAATTTGAGATCTGAATCTAAGATTTTATTTGGCCCCCCTCCCCCCAGTATGGAGTTTTCACATTCTCCACGTGGGTTTCTTCTCAAAGATATGCAGATTAGGTGGATCAGCCATGCTGAATTGCCCAGTGTCTAGGGATGTGTAGGTGGATAGCCATGGGAAATGTAGGGTTACAGGGATGGGATGGGATGGGATAGGATAGGCCAGGCCAGTGGGATTCTCAGAGGGTCGGTGTGGAATCAATGGGCCAATATAGCTGCTTCCATGCTGGAGGAATTCTATAATATGGGTCTAACAGTCAAAATTTGGGGTGCTCTCCATCAAAATATATGCTAAATCAGTTCAACATTTATTGCCCAGACAGGATTGGTGTGAACCTGACTATCACTCCATAGGTGATAAACATAAAACAAGTCAAAAAAGATCTATGATTTGTAATCCTTAACCCTACGAAGACCTGGTTGACCCATCACACAAAGAAAAAAAAATCAAGTCCAGGACTCCCTAACTGTCCAAGCCTTACAAAAATCTTAGGTTCAAACAGCTCACAGAAAATATCAAGGATACTTTCAGTCCAAGACCACAATCTCTTACTGAGCTTGGCTCACAGATGATCTTCTGGGCTAAAATAACTGCACTTTATTTCACATCAGTCAGAACACCCGCATGGAAAGAAAGTTAAGCTAACACTTATCTGGATCACTAGAAGTAATCTTTGGATTCAAGTGTACATATATTGGACAGATGATTACTAGGGCACTCTGCTCTATTATCTTAGTCAAACAATTCACCAACGACTATTGAAGAAGTTGACTGATTTGCACTTTGGCAAGACTCTTGATGTCAGTAAGACTCCGGATCTCCATAGATACTTAGACCTGCTGAGTTTCTCCTACATTTTGGAATTGTCTGAGATGGGTAAAACACCAGAGAAAATAATTTCATAATCTACAATTTTATGTCAGGTTGTCAAATCTGCATGCAAGCGAGTAAGTCTTGGTAAGGTGAATTGGAAAAAAAAAGTGTGCAACTTACGGTTTTTGCCAGATCACAGGCACAATCTGGAGAGTTGAGAATTTCATAGAAGAACACGGAGAAATTAAGTGCAAGACCCAAACGAATTGGATGTGTTGATGGCAGACCAACTTTACTGATTTCAAAGGCGCTCTGGTAAGCATTTTGGGAGGACTTTATTGTTCCTACAGAAGGAAAAAAACTCATTTAAATTGAAGAATTAAACTTTGTGAATGCCATCCAGTATTAATTAATAACAATTTTACTTTTGGAATTTGAGACAAATTAACAAATCTGTAATTGACTGTTGAAATCACTGCTCGTACAAGCAATTTATAGCAGTATTGCCATCCTTGGTATGACAATTAAACAACAAATTTATTAAAGCTGTGAACAATTTCCTCTAGGGCTCCTCCAGCCCACTGAATTCAAACCTATCAACTGACATACTAGCTGACAGAATAAGTTTTATTTGGAACAATATTCTCCACAGCTTACAGCGATCAAGCAACTCATACAAATATCAACCTTATCGAAGAGGTATACCCTTATAGCTATGGGAGACTTAATTTTAAATTTTTTTTTTTTTTTTTTTTTTAAACACAATACCTTTTTCTCTAGCATTGCAGTATACAAATTATTCAATTTATAGTTTCCTACAGGAACAAAGATTTTTACATACCATCCCGTTGATCTCCGGAAGCAACTTCAGCAAGGTACCGATAATAATCTCCCTTCATTTTTAGGTAGAAGACCTTGCTTTCTGAGTTACTAGCATTTGTAATTAAGTGATTATCCAACAGTGCCTAGACAAAGGAGAAAATCAAATTTCAAACAAGTGGATTTGAAATAGTTTAATCCAAAACAAGTACTCAAAAGTTGCAACTTAGAAAGTTGGTTTGGTAAAAGACGACATTAGAATTGAAACCAGCAAGGAAAGCATTAATAGGTAGTTATGTTTAGTCTTCCATTATTCCACATTCTTAGCTAAAGTTTCAAAATCTCTTTCACCACAAATAAAGAAATACTAACCAAACCGCACCTCAATTAGCAGGATATCAACTAAAACATTACATTAAATGATAGCAGGTAAAACTTTTTCACAAAATATTTATCCCATCAGTGCTAGCAACATTACATTAAGCAGCAGCTGAAGACGTTAGAGTACTTTTTTTGATTTTAAAAAGGGGGGAATAGCAAGTTAAACTTAAGAATACATTTCAGTAATTACAGCACATTACTCCTCCATGGCCCACACTAAACCATGTATCAAAATGAAAGATAATATAGCACTAGCACAAAATCTTTAAGGAATGCTAGAAATACTCAAGTCTTATAGCCGATAATCACAAGACAATTGGCCTGAAACACACTCCCTCCACAGATGCCAGCTACTCCGATGGTTTCAATGCTTTTAATTCAGATTTCCAAGATTCATATGTTTTTGTAAAAGCACTTAACAGCTAAAAGTCAGTCAGGTTCTCACCCTTCTTTACATGAACAGACTTCCATCTCAATCATTCCACGGAACAGCATTACTTCCTCTCCATCTTTGCTCCCTCCGATTTCAAAAAGGGGTTCAGACTTCAGCTACTTGCACACGTCTTGTTAGATTGCACAAAATACGACCAAACGTTGCTCATTCAAGAATCATTCTGCTGTAAAAAGGGTTCTGACTTTCTCCATTTTAAGCCATTTACTCTGCACCCTCCCATGAACTCACTGCATGTGTGACCATGGATGTAGTTACCAAGATAATCACATCTTTGGTGTTACCCACCTTGTCAAACCTTAGTAAGTTTCCTACCAACCTTTATCTTTAACCTGAACTGCTCACCACCCAATTCCCCTTGCTTGTGCTTAATGAGTGACATCATTGAATGTTCTCTTAAAAAAATACTGCAGTTATTATATAAAACCAATCTGTGTTCTCAGGTTATCACCCTCTTCTCTCCTACAAGAAAAATAGGGTCCCCCTTGTTCTCACTTACCATCACACCAGTATCCACAACCTGAGGATCATTAGTCACCGTTTCTACCACCTCCAGTGGAATGCCACTACTAGGCATATTCCCCTCCCCTCTGGGACATCCTCATCAATTCCTCCTTCACTCCCAACACATCCCCACAGCCCCATGGCACCTTCCCCTCAAATCACAGGTGGTGTAATACTTGCCTGTTTACTTCCTCCTTCCTCACCATCTAAAGCTCCAAACACTTTCCAAGTGAAGTAGTGCTTCAATCTAGTCTACTGTATTTGCTGCTACAATGTGGTCTTTTCTGCATTGGGGAAACGAAATGTACACTGGGTGATTGTAGGTTTCTGTTAAACAATTCTAACTGCAAAAGAAGACCCTGTGCTTCCAATTGCTTGTTCAACACCATGTCCCCTGGCCAACATTGGAGTCTCAGATTGCTGCAGTGCTCCAGTGAAGCTTAACACCAACTGGAGAAACAGCACCTTATTTTCCTCTAGGGAACTCTACAGCCTCTGGATTCTATTCAGTTCAACAATTTTAGGGCTTCAGCATCTTTGCCCATGCTTTCCCCCACCCCACGGGCTACTGTCACACAACGATTGTCAGCTACCAACAATCCCCATTAGCTGCTAATCATTCTGATAGGCTGGTGTTTATCCACTCTATTCAACTGTTTCACTCTTTGGGCTCTATCTCCACTAATTTTTAGTCTTTCCCCTCAATCCTATCTTTGACATAAAAACCGTCCTTGTCCTAGCTACTGTCAATTCTGAAGGGTCAGTGGACCCAAAACGTTAACTGATTTCTCTCCACAGGGTGCTGCCAGACCTGGTGAGACTTTGCTGAAATTTTAGCTTTTGTTCTAAATCTATATCCTGTTCGATATGGAAAATGAATAAGCATTACAGTGCCCACAACTCAGTAAGGTGTCACAGGAATCCTCATCCATGTCATTGTGACTGGGGGGTCCAATTATTTCAATATTCTTGCCCAGCTATCTATTCTCCATTATACTCTGCTGCCCATATAGAGACGGTGGAAAATGGTTTTGTAACCATTCAAGTAACCTAGGCCCAGACTAAAAGACTATATCTGTCACAAAATGCTTGTTTCATTAAAACAATTAAACAATTATATTGTAGTAAAAACCATGTGGTTTATTCATGTCCTCAGGGAGGAATCTGCTCTTCTTCCCCAGTACTGTATGCAGATCTAGATCCGCAGCAACGTGGTTGATTTAAACTGCTCTCAGACTAGCAAGAAACAGGAGTTGTACAAAATAGCTGTGCAAGTCAAAGATTAAATCAAGATGGACAAGTCAGAAATAACGCACACGCTGGAAGTTAGAAGAGCAAAACAAGCCTTGCCAACTCAAATCTTTCTCACTAGTATCTGGTACTGGAAGGGTGGTTCCACAAGGCATGCAACAGCCTCACTGCCATTCACTGAACTATACCTTATATGTAACATCCTAGATTCCATTACTAATCCTGTCCTATCACACCATGACAGACCCCAAAAGGTCACGGTATGGTGCACAATCAAGCAGGAGCAACAGTTCTCAACACTCGAGACCCCTTGAAATTTCATAACATCAGGCCAAACGTGGAGAAGGCAAGGTCTTCATCACATATGCTCAGCTGAATACAGAATTTCATTTTGAAGCAGAGTATAGGCACAGAACATATTGTGTTGACTTCAATGCCCTTCAATGCCCTACAATTCCTACAGTTTGGAGGATAGCTAATGTAACCCCCTCTATTTTAAAAAAGGGGGTCAGAGAGAAAACTGGAATTATATAGATTAGCCAGCCTTATGATGGTAGTTACTAAAAATCCTACAGTCCATTATCAAATATTCAATAGCTGAAACTTGGAAAACTGATAGGACCAGGCAGAGTTAGCATGGATTTACAAAAGGGAAATCATGCATGACAAAAATACCTGAATTCTCAGAGCATGTAAAGTTGAAGAGGTAGGGCCACTGGACGTGGCTTATTTGGATTTTCAGAAGGCTTTTCCAACAGTCCCAAAAAGAGATTAGTGTAAAATTTTTGAAGTTGCAGGGAATTTCCTTTTTTTGAGGGGGAGGTGGTGTAGTCTGAGATAGAAAAAACTGTTTGGCAGAAAAGAAAAAAGGGTTTGTTCCTCAAGTGACAGGCAGTAACTAGTGGGATACTGAAGGGATCAGAGCTTGGACCCCAACTCTTCACAATATACATGATTTCAATGAGGAAACTGAATATATTACAGTATCTCAAAATTTTCAGATGACAAAGCTGGACAGGAGGATGAGCTATGAAGAGGATGCAAGAGATGCAGTGTGACTCAGATAAGCTGAGTTGGCAAACATGGTAGATGCAGTATGAACGTGGCTAAATTGAGATTATCCACTCTGTAGCAAGAATGTGAAGGCAAACTTTTAAATGGCTACAGATGAGGGGACGGATGCGTAACAAGACCGGATGTGCTTGAATACCATCAGTGAAGACAAGCATGCAGGTGGTCACTGGTCAAGGCAGCAAAATGATACTAGCTAGCTGGCTAAAGATTTGAGTACACAAGCCAGGGTGTCTTGCTGCAGTAATACAGAGCATTAGAGAGACCACATGTTGGACATTGTGCAGGGTTTTGGTCTCCTTCTCCGAGGAAGGATATTCTTGAGGGAGTGCAAAGGTTTACTTGACTGATTCCTTGGATAGCAGATCGGATATTTGAGGGGAGGCTGGGTCAGTTAAGACTATATTCATTAGCGTTCAGGAGAAAGAGGAGGAAACTCAAACCTTTAACATCATCATTAGGACTAGACGGGGTTGCTGCAAGATGGATATTCCAGATCCCCAGGGAGTCCAAAGCCAGAGGTCACAGCTCAAGAATAAGTGATTTAAGACCAGAGATGAGAAAACATTTTTCACCCAGAGTGGTGAGCCTGTGGAATTCACAACCACAGAAACCAATCAAGTGCAAAATATTGCACAATTCTAAGGAGGAGTTGGATTATAGAACCCAGGGCTAAAGGGATCAAAAGATATGGTGAAAGAGCAGGAACAGGCTTAGTTGAATGATCAGCCATGATCATAATGAATGGCTGAGTAGACTCAAAGGACTGAATGGCCTACTTCTATTGCTAAACAGTTGAAAGGACAAATCTGTTATACTGTGTTTGCAGCATATGATGAAAATACCAGTACCAGTATATGGGAAAACTACTTTATCTCATTCTCCATTGAATCTGATCATGACAATACTGGAAGGAGTAGACAGTGCAGTGCTAGGGGAGACAATTTTTGTTGTGTTGTGCTTCACAAAGCTAAGTGGGATAGATGAAGGACAAATCTGGGCACTGAGGTTCTATAGGCTAACATGCATGTTAAATAGCAGAGGCAGCACACAGTACCACAAGGAGGTAAGTCATCCCACAATCAGATCACACAAGTTCTCCCATACCCACTGATGGGAAACAATTAAATAGCTAATAGAAGATAGCTTCAAAACATCCACCTCAAAATGATGGGAGAACCCAGCATGTCATTCAAAAAGACATGGCAATAAAAGATGTTTATGGTTGGAGGTAGTCAGGGTTAATATTTTAGGCCAAAGACAGCACAGGGAGTTCCTCTGTGCAATGTTTTTGGATCCAACCATCTAACCGCTGTTTTAATGACATTCCCTTAATTCCAAGATCAGAAGCAGATGGTGTTCACTTGTTACTGAAGTGTTCAGTACAATTTGTGAATCTCATACTGAAGCAGTCTGTGTCCAAATGCAGCAAGACCAGATAATAGTGGGGCTTGAGCTGATGTGTAGCTCCAGTAATCGTGATGCCACAC